GGGAAGGGGTCATCCTGTAGAAAATCAATGCGGACGAAAAGCAATGACATCCAAGAAGGTTTTGTAGTTTTACGTAGGACGCCTCATATCAAGACTCTCGTCGTTTGAGAAAAATTTATGTACTTGTTTAAACGTTACTGCAGGGTGGGGCACAAATATGGTGGCAAAATAATTGTGGCCTCTGCTAACCGAGAAGGTCAAAACGAGATACCAATTTTCCAAAAACGTATGACCATATCCTAGCAAACAACTGTTAGCGTTTCTTGTTCAAAATAGCAATTTAATTTCAAAGAGCTTACAGGAGTCAACCTTCACCGCATGACACCCTTCAAAATTTCATCTCATTCTTCATGGAGAGCAGCTTTTAGCTAACAATTCAAGCTTTGTTGTTTCGAACACTTCCTCAGCTCTGATATGTTTACATTGGGCAATCCACTATGTCAAACTGGAGGTTTTGAGCGGGCAGCTTTTGTACGACCTAAAATGAGACAACCAGGCTCTGCACCAGTCTTCCGCAGAATTCGGTCTCTGATGGTGAGCTGGGACACCCCCTTCTTTTAAATGGTATTAATAGTAAGGCAGATGATAGCTTTATTTGTAATTTGATCTCAGATAGCGTTGGCTTGAGGTTCCTCTCCGAAATAGACAAAACCAGTGGAGGGGAAGATCTCGCTCGTACTCATATTCGATTATTCGCTGAGCCCCCTTCGAAATCCCTTAGTTAGTTACCCGTTATCTAGTAATAAAGGCTTGATCATCCACAAAAAATGTTAAAGAATTTCCCATTGGTCTTTATATGGGCGCTGATCGCGACCCTCGCCCCTCGTTTGATATTTCTAACTATAGTTTTTCTCCATCATCCGTTAAAGCTTGGCGTTCATGGCATTCAGTAGGTTCTACTCCAAGTTTGCTAAACACATCCCTTCGCGTCACCCTACCGTCATCCTATCCTAAGAGTGTCGAACCTGGGTCCATTGTCATGGTACTCATTGAAATGAGTTAGATACCCTTCAAGGCTATATTCACAGCAACCCTTTGATTTCCTTATCCGGTTAATCTCTATGAGGTGGACTACTATGTGTACCTCAATTGGAATTAGGATGACGGTAGGGTGACGCACCCTTTGGATACAGCAGGTCTCGGAAGCAGCTTGGTCGGCAACGCGCTAGGCTGGAATCCCATTCTCGTCTTATGCCCCAACCTGCAATGGTGGATGAGGCGATAGATTTTAGGATGTCGTAAAAATTTCGTATTTTTGTGGCCATCTGAGTTTTGCAGTTTCGATGGTGGAACTTTGAAATGTACCAAGATGAATTCAATGCGGCGGACTTAGTGTGGTGGCAAATGGCGACACATCACAAGAGCATGGTCTGGGGGAGAAATTTGGGATCGCCTCTCGCCCAAAGCCGGCACCAGACTGGGTTGCAAATGTGCCGATTTGAATATCGAATGGTTTCATGCGCGTCATATGGGCATACAGCAATCTTCGATAAAAGGATAAAAAAGGATAAAGCATTTGCCGTTGATCAATCCCTTTTTTGGTGCTCTGAGTGGGAGTTGCCTTCGCCATTTTCATTCTGATTGCACACTGATAGATCTATTATATGGCGAATTGCTTTTCCTTGAAGCTTTCGCGACGGCCCTCTTATTAAATCGAACTACAATCTCTCGCTTTTCCACTACAACAGTTTTTTTTACAGTACAGCAGTCTCGGTATTCCATCGATCGCTCTACAGTTGCCCAGTGGGCGGTCAGCCTTTCGAGAAAGGACTCCGTAACCACTGACTGATTGTGAGCAGCGCAACCGTCCGTGTCGAACGGTGTCGGACGGGGGGGGTCGATTGGGCTCTGGGAGGGGAAAGGGGGTCGCATTGCGGCGGAGTTTCGGAGTTTTAGGTAGGTTTTGGGCTGTGTCAACTGGTCTCAGAATCAAATACTATAGAAGAGGGAGAGGTCGCGGTGGGGGATGGCTGGTTGTATTGGGGGGTCGCAATTGTGTATTGGTGGGGGTCGCAACTGGACCCCTCTCCAGAGGGGGGGTCGCAAAAATCCCGAAAATGTTCGAACGTGACGGTTGACCCTGATTGGTGAACCTCAACAGTCGTATTGGAAAGTTTCTTGAAATAGGAGGGCATTCGCCACCTCGAATGGTCCAGATTATCCTAAAAAGCATGAAATGATTGGTTTTTCAGCGTTGCTCTATCTTCCATGAAATTCGCCTCGCATTCGTTTTTTATTCATAATCGAAGATTGGTGTAGTGGCAAGTGGCACGCTCACCCACATGCTATTGGGTGTAAAACTTTCGGACAATTTCTGGTCCCTTTTTCCCCATTACAACTTATTTTGAACAATTTTCACTCCTGCCTCCCTTTGTGTGGCCCTATCACTTTTATTACAGGACGGCTTTCTGTCATATTTACCACAGATATACTTTAAGACATGAAAAGACACAAACGAGACATAATATTGATTTTAGTGGGAACAAATCTAATATATGATGTTTATGCAGCTTGAGGGCGGAAGTGGTGTAGTGACAAGTGGCGCGCTTACCACGCGAGCGGTCCGGGGATCAAATCCTGGGTCGTGAGTCGCCCGGGCCAACCAAGCCTTCCATCCCTCCGGGGTCGGTTAATTGGTACCAGACTTGTCTGGGAGGATAAAAACACTGACTTGTACATCGGCTGGCCCCCGCAAGTCATTGTATAGGCCACATCGCATTCAAACGCCACTACGAATGTACAAATGGAAGTAGAATGCGTGCCGCATCCCCAAACA